TGCTACTGGTATCTGCTATGCTTAACCACTCAAAAAAAGATTCTTTTCATTCCTTGATACATATTGAGTAACCAAACGACAAAAAATTGTTACGAAGTAACTCAAAAGTTCTCCTTTCTTTAAACCTTGGCATAATGTTGAGTATTGCTCAATTTCTTCTTTGCCACGACAGGTTTTTATAGCAACAATTTATTGTGCTGCCTAACGTTTCGGCGGATACGCCGTCTTCAGAGGCCTGAAAGTGAGTCAATCACTTTTTTCAAAGGTATTATGCCATCAAATGCCTCGACCAACTCGCACGTTTGACTCGTCCAATGCAACCGCAGTCCAGCGTCCAAGCTCGATCAACTTACCAAGACTCCCAGAGAAGAGCACGATAGAGGCTCTTTAGGTCGCCTAGAGTGTACGGTAACAATAAACAGTCCAACTGGTTTGGACATGTTTAAATAGCTATAGGCTATCGAAATCGCAAAATGATAAGAACGGCTTCAGATCATTCGTCACAGACAACTGTTCATTCTTGCTATTTGATTTCGGGTTACGGGCAAGAATGAACGCGGCTTCTAACACTTTTCGAGCAGAGATGTTGCCCTCGATTGTCAGTATGCTGCAATTTATGTCAAAGTCTTCGCCGCCGTGATTTTCGCTTCTATGCTTCCCCAATGGGCTCACAAGGCTCTGTCTTCTTTTGCTGGCCAGATGTTCATTTACACGTACAAAAAGCGGTCGACCGGTCTCGCCGATGTAAATGGCCCGGCATGTTCGACATTCCAACTGGCAAACTACACCACTTTTTGAGCAATCTCCTGACCCTCCGTTAGTGCACACAACACAATTTCGCGATGTGCAAGCTCTATCGTATAATCGACTTCGTACCAGTTGTTTCTTGATGTTGTCTTGTGGTAAATTCACTAGAACAACATCATTATCCAACTGTGCTTGCGTAATACATCGTTTGACTGCGTTGGTCACTTTGTCGCATATAAACGGCAAGCATAAAGGAACACGTGTTCGACTTTGGTTGCTGTCGTTCATGTATGTTCGTTTGATCACGGCGGCGAAGACTTTGACATAAATTGCAGCATACTGACAATCGAGGGCAACATCTCTGCTCGAAAAGTGTTACAAGCCGCGTTCATTCTTGCCCGTAACCCGAAATCAAATAGCAAGAATGAACAGTTGTCTGTGACGAATGATCTGAAGCCGTTCTTATCATTTTGCGATTTCGATAGCCTATAGCTATTTAAACATGTCCAAACCAGTTGGACTGTTTATTGTTACCGTACACTGTAGGCGACCTAAAGAGCCTCTATCGTGCTCTTCTCTGGGAGTCTTGGTAAGTTGATCGAGCTTGGACCTGCGGTTGCATTGGACGAGTCAAACGTGCGAGTTGGTCGAGGCATTTGATGGCCTAATACCTTTGATAAAAGGGATTGACTCACTTTCAGGCCTTTGAAGACGGCGTATCCGCCGAAACGTTAGGCAGCACAATAAATTGTTGCTATAAAAACCTGTCGTGGCAAAGAGGAAATTGAGCAAAAAATTGTTAGTTATCTGGTTAGATCGCGGACTACAATCAATTTCGTTACTGCGGCGGATGAATAAACAGAAGTATAAGCTTGTGTTCTAGTAATTCTTTGACTTTATGGACAAGCTTTCATGCTTTGTTTCACCTTATTGAGAAAGTGCTGATATTTCAAATCTTCTAGTTTTTGGACATTTTCTTATGCAGCAATGTCCATCATGCATCCCCGAAAATTTTTTTATAAGGCTAATTTGAATTTCAAAAAAAATTTTAAAAATTATTTTAATTAATAACCCATATAGGTATATTAATCAAAATAATTTTTAAAATTTTTTTGAAATCCAAATTAGCCTTATAAAAAAAATTTTTTTTGGAGATGCATGATCACACAAATTTTTGACCACAACCGTCACTGCTACTACTATACAGGGTGTCCCAAAAAATGTGAACACTGTTTGCTTGTTGATACCTTCCTTATTTTCACGTCTTTCGCCGAGCATGAGGCATCATTCTATAGAGCGAGGTTCAACTTAGATCTACAGTATGGAGCGAATCGTCGACCGCTCTTCATTACTGTAGCATTACGGTAGGAACTTCGACAATGATTTTAGGCCATTGTAGGCCATATCCTGCCTCAGAACTAAACCAAACAACCCAAAACTTCTATACTATGGTAACGGAGGACGCTAATCTCGAATGTGAAATTTCCATTTTGCTGCGATGCTTCTCTCCAAGGTTATCCTATTTAAACCGTAATACTGAACTTCTAGCATTCGTCAGCAATGCGATTACACCTTCAAAAAAGCTAAAAACACCCATAAAAAGTTGCGTAGTGAAATTAGCGCGCACGAAAACCCTAGTACACGATTTTTCAGATTTTTTGAACAAATTTTGTCAAATGGCATATTTCACAATAAATCACATGCTAGAAGTTCATACCTTAATCCTACAGTAGCGAACACCGATCTACAAATCTAAGTTGAACCTTGCTCTACAGAATGGTGCCTCAAGCTCGGCGAGAGACAAGAAAGCAACAGAGTTATTAACGATCAAACTGTTCACATTTTTTGGGACACCCTGTATATTGACCAGTGGCGGCCCGAGAAATTTTTTCGGGGGGGGGGGGCGCGACAAAAATTTTTTTCTAAAGAAGGTGCGTTAGCCACGCACTCCGAAAAAATTTTTGGGGTGCTTCTCAAAATTTTTGCGGGTCCCCGACCCCTAAAGTCTGAAAAGAGGGGGCGTGGCGTCAGCCACGCCCCCGAAAAAATCTTTTTATAAGGCTAAAATGAATTTTTAAAAAATTTTAAAAATTATTTTAGTTATTTTCAAGTGCAAGCAAGTCGTTTGCACATTTTTACAACCCATATAGATAAGTTTCAAAAATTTTGCGACCCATTCTCGGGGGAGTACTCTGCGTTGATACCACTGCTT